AATTGACCAGGAATGCTACTCGAAGACTAGAATTGTGAAAAACCAAAAAACTGAGGTGGAACGGAACCTGATTGAATAGCCCCTTGACTAAACTGAGGTTGAATAGAACCTTGACGTGTTTGTGACAGAGTTTGTGGATTCACAGATTTCTAGAAACTAGAATTTTCAGAGCTTACACCAGAATTATGATAACTCAGTCCAGAATTAGAATCAGAGCTGCCATTACTAGAGTTCTATGTAGAGGCTACCAAAGCAGAGGCTAGTTGATCAGGAAACATATTCAGAACACCATTCTGTCTTTCAAGTCGCATTTCATGTTTATGTAGGAAGAATTGTGCTTCTTGCAAGGTCATGTTATTACTATTGGTAGTCAATGAAGCCACTATAACGTCATATTCAGGACCTAACCTATCTAAAATGCATAACAACAACTCTTCATCACTAATCGACACTCACTGGCAATCAATTCATCACCCAAACCTTTCATAGTCAAGACATATTCACTAATACTAAGTGCATTCTTCTTCGTGGTTTGTAATAAGTTTCGCAAGTGTAAAGTTCTAGCTCTGGACAGTGATTGAAAATGAAGTTCAAGAGTGTTCCATATTTCATACGAAGTGCCACACTTAGCTACATGATGGAACATGGACTCTAAAAGTGAAGATAAGAGCCAACTTACCAAGAATTGATCAATTTTCTTCCAATTGTAGTAGCTAGGGTTTCCTTTCTTGACCAATTTGCCAAATTCCTCGTCGGACTCCATTATGGACATCGGAGGACATTCTTTTTCCCCAGTGATATATCCATCAAGACCATGCGAAATTAAGGCTGGAAGAATTTGTGAACGCCAAAATGAGTAGTTCCTGTCAAGAAGTTTTACAAAGATTGTAGGTAGAGTAGGTGGAGTTCCTGAAGTGATCAAGCTACTGGATCCAGCTTCCATGTTTACCAATTGCAGAAATTGAGCTACAAATTCTTAAAGAAAAAGAAGAAAAGAAAAAAAAATCCGAGAAAATTGAACCAAAGACGTTTGTCTATGGCTTTGATACCATGAAGAGAAAAGAATTGCAGCAAAAAAAGCTTGAGAAAAGAGGAGAAAGAGACGGTTAAGAGAGAAAACAGATACAAATCTGGAAAAAAATTTCTGCTAAAGACGAAAGCTACAGTACAAAGCACATATATACTGCTTTCTTTAGTAAAACGCAGCGCATTGGTAAAGTTCTCTCTGACCCTATTCTACTCACATATGACACTCTGGTCCTTAGACCTTTATACACAATAATTACTAACTATTTAGTGGAAATCGAGAAACAGGGGAAACTGAAATGTGTGTGATGATAAAATGAATGTTTTGATAGTGGGGCTACAGTTATCCAAATTAAGTGTATAATATATCAATCTAAATCCATGTCTATCTAGTTTCTAAAGATTCAAACCTCTCATCAATTGGATTTTTTTTTTTTTTTTTTTTTTGAGTAAGTTATGGTTAATTTACTATTGCCTATTCAGTGGAAGCCAAAATGTGTATGATGATGAAAAAAATGGTTCGACAGTAGGGCTATAGTTATCCAAATTAAGAGTATAATATGTCAATTAAAGCCCTTTCTGTCTAGTTTTTAAATATTCAATCCTCTCATCAATTGGATTTTTATTGAGCAAGTTATGGTCAATTTACTATTAATTATTCAGTGGAAACCGAAATGCATGTGATGATAAAATGAATAGTTTACTTAACCCAAATTTAAGGGATTATCATATTATGACTTATAAGAAATATTTCAAATAACACCTATTAATTGGAAAATAGAATCAGCCAAAATTAATTCATTTAAAATATATACTCGCACATCAGCAGGACATAAACAATTAATCATTCATATAACAAATTAAAATACATGAATGTTTTTATAGAAAACATATTCAACACAAATGAACTATTTCTAATAATATAGATATGACACATACTCACAATTCGGCTGACAATAGGATTATCCTCGATTTACTCTTAACAAAGTACATGAATATTTCCTTGAAAACAAACATAACAAAATTTAATCGATCTTCATGTTAAGGTTGTTAAGGAACAATTACTCATTCGTACAACAACTGTTACGTGAAAATGAAATCAACAAAAGTTAATTAATCTTCATATTAAAATTGTTAAGGAATACACTTATTGTTCGGTAGGACTAACACAATTAATCATTCAAATAGATTGACCGAACAAAAACAATCATTCAATCAAATAATAACCGTTAAAATAGTTATGAGATATACTTACAATTTCATATTAAAATAGTTAGAAGATATACTTACAATTCAAAAGAACAAATCAAAATAACAACTCATTTGACAATGTCAATTGGACATCTCACCTTTATTCCATGCTAATTCATAAATCTTTGACCTGTAAACAACAACAAAAACATAAAAAAATCATCGATTAAAAAAATCATGAAGAACAGATATGTTATTGACACAAACTAACATGACCGGTAAACAATTAACAAAAGACCAGACGTATTGTTGACACTAATTAATATATTGCAATAATACACAATTGAACATACACCCCTTTTATAACCCTTTATTGAGACCTTTCAAATGTCAATACAATTAAATACGAATTGAATACGAAGAAAAGTTTGCAATGTCAATACAATACACCTATATAATTATTAATAAACAGGTATGTTTTTAGTACCAATACAATGCATCTATGTAATCAATCTTTATGTGTATTTATTTAAAATTTGGAATACCAATGCAGCAATTAATATTGTCTACATCATCACCAATAAAATTCAACCACATGGCAATCACAAATCCAAGGTGTCATTACGGTTAAACCTTTAGAATGTCAATGCAATGCACCTATATAATTAGTATTATTATTAATTATTAATACAACCAATGCAATGCACCTATGTAATCTAATCTTTATGTCTATTTATTTAGACTTTGGAATACCAATGTAGCAATTAATATTGTCTACATCATCACCACTAAAATTCAACCACATGGCAATCACAAATCCAAGGTGTCAAGATGGAGCAATTTGATTGGGCTCACTAAACCACAAATCCTAGTTGTCAATCTAATGTGTCAAGATGAAACAATTCTATAAGTTCTAAAATGTGTCACGTGTCAAACAACCAGGGACGTATTCAGCTTTATACAGTAAAACTCTCTCTATAATAAAACTCTATATAGGAATAAACTCTATTAGTCCTAAAAAAATTCTAGTCCCAATTTGTGATAATTATAAATAAGAATAAACTCTATTTATAATAAGTTATAATTTTTTATCCCACCTTAAGGAAAGTTACCTCTACATAGTAATAATTATTAGTTTATACAAAAATAATATATATATATATATTATATATATATATATATATATTATATTATATATATATATGGTATGTTAGATTTAAGGTTTAAGATGAAATAAAATATTTATCTACAGTTGTTTGGGACAATGATTTATGATTTAGAATTGTTATTACATCTTTTATCTGGCGAGTATGTAATAACTCGTTAGCATGGACACATTCCTTGTTGAAGCCAAAATATTTTTAACTTCTCAAGGATGTTTAGAGCTTCATAGCACAAAACTTTTTATATTTCTATACTATCATCCTTAGGATTTTTTTTTTTCTCTTCTTGTCTAATTACAGCAATGATTTCTTCTTTGGTTAAAGCATACACGATTTGTTGCTCATTTGGATGATCGAGGAAGACATTAATATCCATTTGATTATTGTAGTAAAATTGTCAAAACTGATCACTGAATTCTGCAAGGACTCTTTTATCCTCCTCATCCACTTTATTTGTAACTTGCAATTCATTGACATTAAGGGTCCTAATTTTGTAGTGCTTAAAACCATTGGCTATTGTCTGTGACTTTACATCAATTGACTATGAATTAACTGCATTTACAGTTCCATCAATGACATTGATCTTTGCTGGTTCCAAGACACAATCGTCTATTAGTTTCAAAAATAGGCAATTAAAGCATTAAATTGAAATCCTAATACTATACTATTAAGACGTGAATTATAAAATAAAAAATCAAAACAATAATTTTTGTAACTACACCTCCATTAAGTTATAATCTCCTCATGTAATAAAATTAGTTAGTCACACCATTATGACTATAAAGAGGTTTTATTATATATATATAGTTAATATTCTATAAGAAAAATGTTTTATTTAGATTTTACTTAAATTATATATTTTCTTTATTTTTTATGAAAAAATTATCAAGAACTCCATTTTGGAATTGACTTAATATTCATTTGTAGAGCTATTAAAATGAAAGAGTTTTGATTATTTTGAATAAAGTGGAGAAGATAAACGTGAGATTTGAATATAAGAATAAAATTTTGAAAAATAAATAATTTAAACAGTTTTAATCTTATATGGAATTATTTAATACCATTTTATTATAACGTAATTATGATTTTAAGATCTTAATTATAATTTCTTAAATATTATTAGAAAGAATTAGGATAAATGTAGATAAAATATTTAATGATAATCACTATTTAATAAAAATAAATATATTAATAAGATTTTTTCGAGGTCTTCCCATTAAACTCTACCCTGCTTAGGAAATGGGAAGCCTTGCGGTTAGCAATTAATTTGAATTTTTCAGTGGATGTGATGAGTATTAATCCAGATTTTTCGGGAGGTATTATAGTCTATTCACATTCCAGTGTTATAGTGTGAGTGTGTTCCTTCTCTTTCTGTATGATTTCATAGTTGTTGTATGTATCATGTACAGAAGAGGAATACAAAAATCTCTTTTGTTATCTTTGCTCACGTTAACTATGGTATAGTTTGTTTATAATCAATTCTGTCACTTCCTCAGCCTCCAATTCAACCTATTACCTATCCTTTACTTGACATATTTATTTACACTCTCTTAATTCCCACTTCACTTATAACAACACACAGCCTCACTCAAGTTCCTGTGCCGCCGAGCAAACTTCAAAATGGAGAATGGAGCAAAATCATGGGCTTTCAGAGGGACTCAAAAGCTTAGTGCAAAACAGTCTAAAGACTCTAAACTGATGGTAACAATCCGAGAAGCTCTGGACAAGTTAATGGGAAACCTGAATGAAGATGATGACAGGTCCGTCATCCCTCTTGGCCATGGCGACCCTTCAGCTTTTCCGTGCTTTCGGACCACTCCTGTAGCCGAAGATGCCATTGTTGATGCGGTCCGATCATCAAAGTTCAACTGTTATTCTCCGGCCGCTGGTATTCCTCCCGCAAGGAGGTAAAATATTAGTTTTAGCCTTTCATGTAGACGTGTATACGGCATTCATTTGGATGGTTTGTTAGATTTCATGTGATTAGCTAAGAGGTTAATGTTCATTTGATTGCTAAGTAAACGGTTCGGTTTTTCCAATAAAGGAGGAAGAGTTCTAGTTTTATGATTATTTTATTATATATTCTTTCATTTTTTCACTTATTTTCTTTTTATATACAAGAGTCAAGACACTGACATATACATTTTATTTTATTTTATAACTCATCAGTTATATTTATCTAGCAGTAAGTAAAGGATGTGATATGCGCATTTTAATCTGAAAAAATGTTAGATAAATACTTTCATATGATAGTAACAAGATAATTACATCGTTTTACAGGGCTATTGCAGAATATCTCTCACGTGATCTTCCTTATAAATTGTCACCAGATGATGTTTCTGTCACATTAGGTTGCACACAAGCAATTGAGATCATCATAACAGCCCTTGCTTGTCCGGGTGCTAACATTCTGGTTCCTAGGCCAGGTTACCCACTGTATGAAGCTCGTGCAGCTTTTAGCAACCTAGAAGTTCGTCATTTTGATCTTATACCAGAGAAGGGATGGGAGGTTGATCTTGATTCTGTTGAAGCTCTGACAGATGACAACACTGTTGCTATGGTTATCATTAGCCCTGGCAATCCTTGCGGAAATGTCTTCACATACCAGCATTTGAAAAAGGCATGTTATTATAACCTGATATCATATATGTCACTATATTCTGTATATATTTTGGCAGCACTAGCTTTAAAATTGAAGTTGAATGTAAAGAATCTAAAATCAACTATGTTCAGTAAATTGGAAACTCCCAACTTTTTTATGGTTTTGGTTTATGTGTTTTGTGGGGATACAGATTGCAGAGACAGCACGAAAGCTTGGAATAATTGTGATTGCTGATGAAGTTTATTCCCATCTAGTGTTTGGGAATAAACAATTTGTACCTATGGGAGAGTTTGGATCAATTGTGCCTGTACTAACAGTGGGGTCCATATCAAAGAGATGGATTGTTCCAGGTTGGAGACTTGGTTGGATTGCGACAAACGACCCCTGTGGCCTCTTGAAACAAACTGGGGTCAGTGCTCTATCTTTTCAACTTGTTTCTCACATTGTATGATTGTTAAGCTGTGTTGCCAAATTAAGAAGACAAGGTAGGATCAAGTACAGTATATATTATGAATTCAATCGAGAACATTACTTTTACTGCAAATTTCTTCAAGGCTTAAGCAATCTGTATCCAAAAACACTGATCTGATATATGTTTCGTAAAATCTTGTCAAAGCTGGAAGCAGCAATTACTTATTTACTTTGAGTCAGAACCATGACTATTCACTTCTGCAAGTACGTGTAGAAGTCACAAAGTAGATTCCTTCCCATTTCATGGGTGCACGTGCACCTTGTTAAAGAAGTTTATTGGAATGTTTTTCTGTGTTAACTTGGTCGCTTTTACTGAATAGTTTGCTTACCTTCCGGTGGTTACCACTAGCCTGCTTTTGCCATCCTGCTATTTTCTAAGCATGAACCACTTCATATTTTAAACATAATCTCTCTGTTTTGTTCTTACCAGATCTTGGACAGCATTAAGAAGTATCTTAATATCTCCAGTGACCCTGCAACCTTCATTCAGGTATTTAGTCTAAGATATCAATAAAGCAATACCATCTGAATATTTACATCTGTAAATGGCGTAAGGATTGTGTAATAAAACTAATCTTTACATCTGGAATTAAAGAAATTATATCATATGCAATTAAAGCAGAGGCATCACAATGATGTTTTAACAATAAGTTTTAGATATACATAAGTTTCCATATTATGAACTAATAGAAAGTTATTAATAACAATAAAAGGTTGGCGGAGGCTGATTTGCGTGAGACTGCTAATCAAATAAAATATCATTAAATCTATAGAAATGTTGAATAATGCTTCATTTCATCTGCCTGAATATGCATAAATATTCTCTGGTTTCCTTTTCTTATCATAATTTTAAGGTATGATGATCTTGTTTATATATAAGGGAGCAATTCCTAAAATTCTTGAAAACACAACAGAAGAGTTCTTCTCCAATATCATAAACACCATGAAAGAAGATGCAGACATTTGTTACAGTAAAATAAAGGAGATCCCTGGCATTGCTTGTCCACAAAAACCTGAAGGAGCCATGTCTGCAATGGTAAGTACTTAAAATCTGTTGCTAATTCTGGTAATCTTTTTATTTTATTTTATTTTTATTTTCCTTATTAAAATGAAGATAGTAATTCCAAATTGTTGACGACCACAGGTGAAGCTAAACCTGTCACTACTCGAAGGCATTAACGATGATATGGACTTTTGTGCCAAGCTGGCCAAAGAGGAATCTGTTATTGTTCTACCAGGTAATTAACATTGTTTAGAACCTAATGTACGTTTACTCTTCCTTAAGTGGTACAGATTTCAATGTCCTCTTGAAAAAGCTATCTGAACTTATTGATGTAACCTGCAGGGAGTGCTGTGGGAATGAAGAATTGGATACGCATAACTTTTGCGATTGAACCCGTTTTTCTTGCAGAAGGCCTTGACAGGATAAAGAGCTTCTATGAAAGACATGCCAAGAAGCTGTAACATTATCATTATGTGTTTATTTTCTCAAGTTTTCTACAACCCTTAGGGAGCTTTATATTGAACTCATTTCATCAGTAGTTCCAACTTCCATACAATACTGTAGACATGGAGTCAAAAGTCCTGTTTACTGCTTTTATGAACCTATTAATAATATGAAAGGGCTATTTGTTTTTACTACTTTTCACTTAAATCTAAATAATTTAATTCTTTGCATAACTTATATCTAAAGTCTGAATTTTTTTAACAAAAACATAAATTAAATTTTTAATATGAGCATATTTATCATAAATTAAGTTACCCATCTTTGGGGAGTTAATGCCTTTTTCCCACTCAAATAATGATTTAATGATATTTTTTCACTCACAGACTTTTAAAATACCACTTTATTATCTAAATTTATATTTCGACGGTGAACAAAGAGTAAACTCGATCTAGACTGTTGGGGCTTTTGAAGAGTGGAGGCTGATGAGTCTTTCAGTGGTGGAATGTTGGATTTTGGTGGTAGGGATTAATCGGAATTTGACTTGGGGGGTGGTTATGCAAACCCTAATCGCTTGATTGCCGGTGATTGATAGGGTCCATGGGAGTAGGGTTTGAGGGGTTTTAACAAGTGATGATCGAAGAAGAGAATGGTGGTGGTGTGGGGTCGCGATGATGCCAGAATTGAAAATAGAATATAAATTTGGATAATGAAGTAGTTTTTTAAAAGTCTTTGAGTAAAAAAGTGTCATTATACCATTATTTGAGTAGGAAAAAGTCGTTAACTCATCTTTGAGTGGTTCAAAGTGGTATGACAAGTTCTAGAATATGTGGGTGACACCCTGTTTCAAAAAAAAAAAAATATATTTGTCATAAATTTAAATTTATACAATATATTAAATAAGGCTTAAAAGTTTATTTTATCTAAAAAACTTTTTAAATATATGGTCCATGATTTATGGTAATTGTATTAACACATGTACTGGACAATACCAAATTAGTCAATACATTACATGCGCAGCACATTGTTAGTTATGAAGGCTCGTTTTTGAACAATTTTAGAAACAATAATGCTAGATGTATTAAGAAATGTATAAAGATTTCTTGTATAAAGTAAGGTAACATTAGATGAATGGAACAATAAATACGATGAGTTTGATTTTTTGTATTCACTCTTTCATTTATCTTTTGTCACATCACTTTGTACAGAAAAAAATATTTGTAAATTTATTTGTATACCTATTCTTATTGTTTTATAAATATAAGAATAATGTTTTTAGTTCAAAAAACACCACATAAATCGAACAGTAATACTACACTTATAAACTCTTTTTATTAATTTTCTCTCACAAATATGACATGTCAATTCATAATTGGTTAACTCATAATAGATTCTATATGGCCAACAATAAATCTCATTTAATCAAATACGAACCAACTAATTGGGAATTGATTCGTAAGCATTTATTTGAAAAAATTGTAAGAAGTAGTAACCATTCGAGTCTTTATTCTAAATGGAAGGGTCTTCAATGTCTCTTTCTAATTGTCTTCATTCTGTATGAGTTGATGGTTGTTGTCTGCTGATTCATGTGCAGAAGAGAAATAAGTAAAATCTATTCTTTCATCAATTTTACAACTAATATCCTTTACTTTATTGTACTTTATTATTATCAATTCTGTCTCTTCATCTACCTTCCTCACTCTACCTGTACTCACCATATTTATTTACACTCAGACTCACTCAAGTTCTACCAACTAAACTTCAAAATGGAGAATGGAGCAAAACCATGGGTTTTCCGAGGTAGTCAAAAGTTTACTACAAAACAGTTATGCAACAGAAATATAAACTCTAACGCTAGCTATTGAATATAATAATAATAAATAGTAAAGCATAAATAAATAGCCAAAATTTAAATACAAAAATAAAGAATACCAGAAATTAACGAGGTTCGGTATTGAAACCTACGTCCTCGGGCGCTGCAAAAGAAAACTCCACTATCTCTAAAACATTACAAACTTTTGGGCAATACAACAAATATCCAAAACAAAAGGGAGATACAACAAAACTTACAAACTAAAGTGTCCTTAAAGAAAGAACCCTAAACAAAAGAAGTATAATGGAATTATAACTTGGGATGCCTAATAACAATGATTTGGGTCCTTATATATAGGCCTCAAAAGTTTTCCACTTTTCAATCCTAATCAATGTGGGACAAACTAACCTTTTTTTTGGCCTATTACATATAAGTCCCAAAACCTTTCTCTATTATCATTTCTACCCCATATGATTTTGCTAAAAGCCATTTTTTAACAAATCTCCACCTTGGCGAATTAGCAAACCTTCAAAGTTTTGTATTCTTCTATCAAATTTTGCAACACCTTCAAATGTGCCAAAAAACGCAATCAAGCTCATAGGATGTTGATCAAGTTCAAACAATAAATGAACTTGACCCTTGTCACTACTGAAGTCAACATGTCTGCAGGATTATCTTCTGTGCCAATCTTCTGGAGGATCATTTTCCCATTTTCAATATAATCCCACACAAAAACTAAACCAATATCTATAGTACATAAAATATACTGTAGAAACCATTTTACAACTTGCAAATGTCCTTTACCAGGATCATGCATATGCCTGCTCACCATACTAACTGCTTGTGAAATATCAAGCCTTGTGTACCCATGACCTATCATACATTGATCAAATCGCTTATACCACTGTCTTGGTGACTGCTTCAAACTATATATAGCAATTTCTTCAATCTGCAAACCCAATTTTTCTTTCCAGCAACCCTACAATCATCTGGATGAGTCTTGTAGATTTCCTCTTCCAAACTATCATGTGAAAACGTGATTTTCACATCCAATTGAACTAGTTCAAAATCAAACTGTGCCACTAAGGTTAGCAAAATTAGAATGGAATAATACTTTACCACAGGAGAAAACACTTCACTGTAATCAAATCCTTCCATTTGAGCGTATCCCTTTACTACCAACCTAACCTTGTGCCGAACATCTTCTCTATTAGGAAATCCCTTCTTCTTTGCATACACCCATTTGCACCCAATCGTCTTCTTATGTAGGGATCGCATTTCATCATTCATGGCCGGTTTCCATGATTCACAATTTGAACTCCTAACTACTTCTTTATAAGTAGTAGGAATATCATCACCTACGATTGGAAGTGCATAAGCCACCATATTAGCGAAACGAGCAGGCTTGCAAATTTCTCGTCTTGGCCTATTATATGCAATCGATTCCTGTTGCTGAGGAGATTCTTGGGGTAAAATCTCTTTTTCATCTATAGTATCCACATTAGTCACCTCAGAATCACTTTCTGTCTCGTGGACACTATCTGGTTCAACTGTTGTTTCAAACTCCACCTGCTGCCGAGTATGCTCCACACACATATGCCACAGCTTGAGCATTTCTGAATCTGCATCCTCCTGTACGACTGCAGCTGTCGTTCCAATAACTGTACTACCATTATAGTAATACAAGTTGTTTCTCCTTGTGCCTTTCATTACCACAAGAGCGCCTGAAGAAACTTTTAGAATTCCATCTCGCATATTCACCGTGAAGCCTTTAGATTCTAAGGCTCCCAAAGAGATGAGATTCTTTTTCAACTTCGGTACATACCGAACATCTGTCAGAGTTCTAGTTGAGCCATCATGATTCTTCAACCGAATTGAACCTATCCCAGTTGTTTTACAAGCATCATCATTGCCCATATAAACAACTCCACCATCAAGTTCTTCAAAATTAAAGAACCACTCCTTGTGGGGACACATATGATAGGTACAACCTGAATCCATAATCCACTCATTTGATCCAGAGGTGGATGGTAGGCTAACTAGACAGAAATCAGACTCATCCTCTTCACGCTCAACAACGTATGCATCAGAAGTAGCTTTGCCCTCTTTCTTTTGCAACTTCGGACAATCTTTCTTCCAATGCCCTTTCTCACGACAAAAGGCACATTGATCCCTATTGAGTTTTCCCTTTGAACGAGATCTTCCTCTTCTCTCCTTCTTACGACTCTGATTTTGACTCCGCCCTCTTGCTACAAGAGCTTCTGCTGACTCATCTCTATTCTCCTTCTGATCCTTCTTCCGAATTTCATGATTGGACAGAGCAGAACAAACTTCTTCAAAGGACAATTTTTCTTTCCCATGAAGAAGTGTAATACTAAGATAGTCCAACTCATCTGGAAGAGATCCAATTAACAACATAGCCTTATGCTCATCTTTGAATGTTTCATCCAAATTTAACAAATCAGCAATTAATCTGTTAAATGTATCAATATGGCTACTGATATTCGTACCTGGTCTCAACTGAAGACGAAACAGTCTTTTCATCAAATAGAGCCGATTCTCATTACTTCTCTTCATGTATTTGTTTTCCAGCGCCTTCCATAACTTATTGGCAGAAGTCTCTTTCATGAATGGATATTTTTGCTCTCTACAAAGACATGAGCGAATCATCCCACACGCTTTTACATTCAACCTCACCCAGTCTTTCTCATAGACATCTTCTGGTTTTTCCTCCTCCAGAACGATATCTAGATCCTGCTGATACAAGCTATCCATTACCTCACTCTGCCACAAGCCAAAATTATTTTGGCCATCAAATTTTTCAACATCAATTTTTGCATTTGAAACCGTTATCATCTTTACTGGTGCGGATGGTGGTGCCGCGGACGGTGATGCCTCGGACGATGAATCCTCGGACAATGATGCCATTTATGCCTTACTCAATTAGCTTGGTAAACAAAGTTCCCAATAACCAAGCTCCACAAATTATTATATTCAATAGCTAACCAACAAATCAACAATAGCCCTAGGTAGTAGTAAGTGCTGAAATGATTAAATACGCACCAGGAAAATTCCCAGGAAACAATGGAGGGGTCACAAATGGTCCCACTTAAAATCCAGTCTCCTTAGACTTTTATCGTCTTTTTGACAGAATTTTCCTAGACATGCATATAACCATACAAATAGCTACTCACTGTCCTAAACCTA